GCACTCTGTCTCTCTCTCTCTCAAAAATAAACAAACATTAAAAAGTAAAAAATAAAGACATCTTATTATAGGTAATTTCAACAGAAATATTTTATTAAATTTGTTAAGTAGCATAATCCTCAAATACTTTATCTTAGATACTAAAAGCATCTATAAACATCTATAAAATTGGTGTTACTCTCATGTTTTATAGTTGCTTAAAATGAAGGAGAAAAATCTCTTCTGGTTTTCAGCGGTAAACCACAAGAATCCAGAATTGCTGAGACTAAATTTACTAGTTATCCCTAGATACTGAAACAGCATTGTTTCTTTCCCAGGTACTTCATCTTTCATCATCTGTTACTGAAGAGATTTTAAGAGGTTCAGAATCTATTCCAACATAGAAATAGGGACAAACAGCTTCTGTAAAAGAATCATTAAAAGTATAGAGAAGAGATCTATCATTCATATTGTAAAAGGAAACCTCACCCAACTCATAGTCCAAAAAAATGCCAATCTTAGTGGGTCTTACTGTGGGCAGAAGCTGGCTTCTCTTAGGACCCAACATAACATAAATGCTTTCAATATATCTCCCAATTGCCCAGAACCCACCCTCAGCTACTGGCTGATTCCTCCAATTCCTAGGAAAACAGTCTTGACACACTCCCAAGGTCCACTTAGGCTTGTTTCCCACTATGACCTCCCAGTAATGCCGGCCAGAACTAAATCTCTTAGAACCCAGGACAGCAGGGCAGAGGTAAAATCTCCTTGGGTTATAACAAAGGTATTTTCTTCTCTTTCCATAATGCACAGTTTTTCTATCCTCAGAGACAATAAGCCGAGGGTGTGCTGTTTCAAGATCTAGAATCACATCTACTTGAAATGGCTTGATAATTTTGCCCAAGCCAGAGTATTGTGGAGGAAGGCTAAGTCCGTATTTCTTTAATCGGAATAAAAAGAGCTCAGGACGTTTTAGGTTTTGATACCTGTGGTAGATACCTTTAACATGTGTCAGTAATTCCAGTTCCGATTGCCCACACTTGCACTCTACCTCCTTCAGCAGATGTTTTAATGTGGAAACATGATCTGAAAATGTTATACGGTTGGCATTTAGTTTCGTTAAAATGTCCATCTCTTCATCTTTCATCTGCCTAAGAAGAGCCTCTTGCTGATTTTGCAGAAACAGTCGAAGTTGCTCAAATTCAGAAATGATTTCTTCTCTCCTATACTCTACCTTCTTTTTCAGTTCCACAATTTTGCTGGCTTGCAGAGAAATCACTTTTTCAACTCGTTCCACATTGTTCTGCAAGGGCTCAATGCTATATTCTAGAATTTTCCGGTGATAAGAGGCAGCTTTCTTAATGGGGCAAATGTAGTGTTTCTGGTGTTGAACAGAGAGGCTGCACTGTGTACATAAAACCTCTAGGTCCTTCCCGCAAAAAAGGGTCAGAAACTGATTGTGTTTCTCACACACGGAATATTCTTCCTGCCTTTTTCTCTTGCTCCTTCTGACCTGCAGTAGTTTAGCAATTTCAGTCAAATTACTGAGCTGGCGGTTGCTCCGTAAGTTTTTGTTACGAAAGCAAAAACGGCAGACAGGACAGGGGAAGGTATCTTCTAGATCCTTCCACATCATGTTGATGCAGGAGCGACAGAAGTTGTGCCCACAGTTTATAGTCACTGGGTCTTTCAAGTAGTCCAGACAGATGGGGCAGTTAGACTCTTCCTGGAGGTGTACCAGGGCTGTTACAAACTCCATTGAGCAGAGAATGAAGGTGGTGGGTAAGAATGTTCCCCTTGGCAAGGCCTGCCGTAAGCTCAAGACCCAGCGAGTAGATCTCCCCCAGACCTCGAAGCTTTAGGTTCCACTGGCCCAGCTTCTGATGGCAGCCACTGAAGTCTTGCGTAGTGTCCTGTCCTGTAGCTTGAGGGCAAGAAAGATTCACTGATTGCAGCTCTCTCACGGATTAACTCACCTAAATTTAAGATTAATGACTTTCTTCTTCAACAAAGTAGCCACGGGTCCAAGCAAGCAACCATTCATTCCTATGAGTGAGAAAAGTTTTCAATTATAAAATCTCCTAGACGTGCTATCACAATATAATAATTAATTTAGGCAAGAATCATCAATAACTGCAAAAACTATTATGCAAAATTTCCTGGGTAATGATATATTCACAAAAATCTCAAAATATCACTGTTAACAATTATATGAAAAATAAGTGCCTTTATAATGCAGAATCCTAAAGAATACCTCCTGACCAATGAAGGGATAAACTGATGGCCTGCAATGAGAAAAACATCACTTACAGAGTATTTATGCTCCCCCTGCAAAAAAAGAAAAAGCAATTCCTAAATTTAATCACAAAAATACAATCACTAAAATCGAAACCACAGAACGTTCCACAAGTCCATGGTCTTAAACTATATACAATGGCACTGAAGTTTCTTCTACGTTAAGAAACTAAAGTAACAAGTTAAATTTGTGATCTTAGCTTTCTAGAGTCTAGCTAGACATATACATTGCTCTAAAGTGGACAGAGCATGGCAAAAATATGAATATGGACTATTCATTAGACAACAGTAGCAAAAATCAAACTTCCTGAATTCAACAATTGCCTCATAGCTACATAAGAAGATATCCTACTCTTAGCAAATATGTACTTTAGTACTGAAGGAGTTGTGATCTTTGAATGTTACTCTTAAATATGACTTAAAAAAAAAAGTGGTGGGCCTGGGTGGCTCAATCAGTTGAGCATCCAACTCTTCATTTCGGGTCAGGTTATGATCCCAGGGTTGTGGGATCGAGCCCCGTGTCGGGCTCCACTCTGAGTGTGGAGCCTGCTTAAGATTCTCTCTCCTTCTGCCTTCCCCCCTTGCACTTTCTAAAAAAGAAAAAAAAAAAAAATGTGGGTGTCACGGTTTTGGTATCATGTGGGTGATGGGTGTGTCTATAATAAGGCAGCATGAAAGACACTCATTAGTGATGGAATGGGTTCTATAACTTGATTGTGGTGGCCACTATGTGAGTCTACATGTGATAAGTGGCATAAAACTAGACAGTCATTTGACCAAGATCAAATTCCTGGTTTTGATATAGTATTTGGAAACATGGGAATGTGGATGATAGATACATGAAACCTCTCTGTACTGTTTCTCAAAATTCCTGTGAATCTATTATTATTCTAAAGTGTTAAAGTTTTAGAAAAATCACCTTCAGGCTCATCTGGATGTTTAAATCAAAGGGAAGTTGTGTAGTTCATTTTGTAAAGCACTGGGACATATAATAAATCACTTATATCCCTTGCTTTTTATAGTCATTGATTTTCCTGTGTATTATTTGTGCATCATCTGCCACCTTTTAAGATATATGGACCTAGTACAGAAGCTTAACCTAGCCCAAGCTGTGTTCAGCTCAAGAGGATTATGGTACTACCCTTCTACCTGGTCAGCCTGCTTCCATTCTTGCATTCTGCATCCATTCCCAATTCAAGTAATAAGAACTTTCTTTGAATATACAACTCCTAACATCTCTTTCTAGTGCTTAAAATCTTCCAGCTTCTGAATGCACTTTAAATCCTCAACATGGTGGGAGCGCCTGGGTAGTTCAGTTGGTTAAGCATCTGACTTTGGCTCAGGTCATGATTTCACAGTTTGTGAGTTTGAGCCCTGAATCAAGATCTCTACGTTCAGCATAGAACCTGCTTCAGATCCTCTGTCTCCCTCTCTTTCTGCCCCTTCCTTGCTTGCTCTCTCTCTCTCTCAAAAAAAAATAAACTTAAAAAAAACTCTAAAAAAAATCCTCAACATGGTATGCAGAGCGCTGTAGGAGACCAAGAACATGGCTTTTTTTTTTATGTTTATTTATTTTTGAGAGACAGAGAAAGATAGAGCATGAGCATGAGAGGGGCAGAGAGAGGAGGAGACAATTTGAAGCAGGCTTCAGGCTCTGTCAGCACAGAGCCTGATGTGGGGCTCGAACCCACGAACCGCGAGATCATGACCTGAGCCGAAATCATACGGTTAACCGACTGAGCCATCCAGGTGCCCCAAGAACATGCTTGCTATAAAAGTGCATCCCCCAAACTCAGGGTTCTTTGGCTGTGTCACAAACCCACAGTGTGCACAGCATCCAGCTGGTGAGACTTGGGAGAGATGGGAAACTGACACCAACCTGATGCTCATGCTATTGGCTGTGCCAGTAGTAACTGAGTCCTGTCTCTGACCCAGGAGTTGTGTCATCTGGCAGCAACCATGAAACATCAACAGGCTAACTTATTAGTTTCAAGTAGGGTAAAATGCTGAGCCTTGACACTTGAGGGTTAAAATCTTCAATTACAGCTGTGAAACTTAACTTTATGAGACTTGAACAGGCTTATCCAAAGTCATAATATTAAATGCTATCAACTACTAGCATACTAAGCCATTAAGCACACTACACTTTTCTGGGTGACATAAGAAATATATATTTGGCCTTTGTCCCAGGTTCCTGACATAGGGCTCTTAACACCCTTGGACTCACCCCATAGTGATAAGGATGCACTCTGTATGCTAATGAGCTGAGTGATGGCTAAGGACCCCTAGATAGCTGCAGAAGCGGGCATGCCACCAAAAAGATCCAGGGATGATTAGAGGGTCGGGACCATCAGCCCTATCCTGTATCCTCCTGAGGAGAGGCACAGATGAGATCGAGGTAATCACCCAAGGCCAGTGATTTAATCAACCATGTAAATGTAATGAGACCTAGATAAAAACCGGGTTGGAGAATTCCGGGTTGGTGAATACATCTAAGCTCATGGGGGTGGCAGGCACTGCCTGACCAGAACAGATGCTCAGTAAGTGCTATTGTGCAGAAAAGAGTGATCATAATAGGCCTAAGACTGCTTGCTGTCCTTAGAAGGGCCTGCTTGCAAGGTTGGCCCTTGGCTTCTATCTAAGAACTTGGATTTTGGAAGGGTTCCCATCCTTCTCTGATAACAATGGCTCACCGAGCCTAAAGTATCAGTGTAACTAATGTGGTTTATGCTAGCTACCAGCATTCCTTCTGATAATCTGGAAATTTGATACATCCTAAGCAGAAGCTGACCTCATGACCTGTTCCCAAAGAAAAAATAAGCATCTAAGAGCTTCCCTGATAGACAATTCACACGTTATCATAACTTGTTGCTGAAGGAATTAAATGAGTCCTATGTGACTTAACTGGGTAAGAACTGTTGGCTGTTTGCCATGGTCTCCTCCAGACTTCAACTCATGCACCTTTTCCTTTCGCTGATTTTGCTTTGTATCCATTCACTATAATCAGTCATAGCTGTGAGTACATTTTACTCTAAGCCTGGAGTCCTTGTAGCAATGTCTGAATGTAAGGTAGTCTTGGGAACCCATAGACATAAGTATTATTAGAAAATCTTATAAAACTTCAAAGTGAAGAAAGCTCTTAGAAATCTGACCCAACTGCCTAGATATTTATTATATCATATAATCTATTAAAGTATATACTATAACACTGTCTTAGTCTAAAAGCCACTATATATCTTATTGTTATTGTTAATATATCTTATTATTGTTTCCCCTTTAATGAGTAAAAAAGATGCTAACTGCTCATGGTGGTTTGGCAGAGAAAGTTTGAATAGATTCTAATTGTTTTAAATGTTTATTTATTTATTTTGAGAGACAGAGCAAGCGCATGTGTGAGTGGGGGAGAGGTAGACAGAGAGGGAGAGAGAGAATCCCAAGCAGGCTCCATGCTGTCAGAAAAGAACCCGATGCAGGGCTTGATCTCATGACCAAGAAATCTTGACTTGAGCTGAAATCAAGAGTGAGATGCTTAACCAGGTGATCCGCCCAGGCGCCCCAGATTTTAATTTTGAAGCAGCAAGGTATTATTACATTAAAAAAAATTTTTTTTATTATATTGCGATTGGAGGATAGCATGATATGCCATTCAAAAATATGCCTCTTTGGCATAAGGATGCCAAATCACAAGGATGATTTTGAGCTGATTATTTGGAGAAATAGCAGACACAGAAGCTCTGAAAACAGACCAGAAGCTACCCTTTTGAAAGGGCAATTTACAATAGAATGGGGGCCTGTGCCAAGAAGAGAACTATTACTAGACAACTTTTTCACCTGGGCGGGGCAAACTTCATTTACCAGATACTTTCTCTTTTCAGTGTCCTATGAATTGCCTTCCTCCCCTTTGAAGCCTTAGACCTATATCTCTTTCCTTAGTTCAGGATGAGCTGCCCACTTACACTCACGCTACCTTTTTTGAGTCTCATATCTTTGTGAATCTCCCTTATGTACAGATGGAGTACATAATTAAATTATTTTCTCCTGTTAATTTGCCTTTTATTACAGATGGGGTTTCAACTAAGAACCTAGAGGGGTAGAGGGATAATTACTTTTCCTCTCCCACACAATAAAAAGAAACATAAAGTAGTGATAATGTGTCTTCAAGTTTTTCTGATATTCCAGTCTAACTTTTCATGAATAACACTGTCACGACGAGAATCCCTAATCTTTGTTTAAAATTCCGTATTTTGGGGCACCTGGTTGGCTCAGTCAGTTAAGTGTCAGACTTCGGCCCAAGTTTGGCCCAGGTAATGACCTCATGGTTCGTGAGTTTGAGCCCCACATTGGGTTCTCTACTGTCAGTACAGAGCCTGCTTCGGATCCTCTGCCCCTACGAGCTCTCTGCCCCTTCCTCGCTTTCTCTCTCTCTCCCTCTCAAAAATAATAAATATTAAAAAATAAATAAAA